AATTTTAAAAAACTATTCTAGTAGATAGCTATGATAGAAACTAAATTTGTATAAACATTAATAAAAGTCTAATTCAGATAAATTTATAAAATAGATATAAATTGGTCTAGCGATCTTAGTGTAGTGGTTAGATTGCTAGACCGCTATACAAGAGGTCTGGAGTTCAAATCCCACTGTCAATGAATTTGAATAATTATCTGAACCTTTGTATCTAACTTACAGTAAACCCTGTTCATTTCTGGGTTGTAACCCTAGAAATCACATTGTACCAATATCATCTGAATATTGGAAGTGTAACGAGGCATTTGGCGAGACGTAATATTATACAAATAAATCTTGATAGGATCTATAGGCAGGGGACCTATATAGTAGAAATCCTGATTAGGTAAAGTAGTATAGCTTTCAACAGTCACACTAGCTAACGCTTGATCCAAAAAGGAAACTATGATTAAAAGATGCAGATCGAGTCAGGTACACATAAATCTATTCTACAGGGAGGAGTAGTAACACCAACTTGGCTTAGCGGCTAACTGTATTGGGAGGATCTGCCTTGTAAAACATATAAGAAAATAGAATACAGAAAACTGGTGAAGAGTCACAGTAGGAACTGGGGTTATACGAATATCTACAAGAGTTTAATCTAGGTGATCCTGTAAAATAGGTATGGGCCACTCTAGTGAGTTTGCTTCGAGGTTAACTGGCTCTGCAATACTAGCAATGTGTCTAGTATAATATATCCTGAGAGGACCTAAGCTGACTTGAGTAAATGGATCCGTAATAAGCTAGCTGGCTTAAGCAGTTAGGTGTTATAGTGATATTAGGTTTGGATCTGTATGGGTTAATGAACAAAGTGTTTAAATAGATAACTCATAGGCAGGTTACAGGTATAGCAGCATAGTGTAGAACCAATCGGATAGTCTAATTGCCTATGTAGCGGACTACTTAAATTAGACAATGACTAAAGTTGTATGTGTGGCTTGTTGTATACTCTTCATATAATTACAAACAGTAGAGATTATCAATGTATAATCCCGTATGCAAATACTAATAAAATCCTGTCAGCAATATAAGCTGCCTTAAACGTAAAAAAAAAAATAAAAATAAAATAGATATAAATTACTTTAATAGGATTCATTTCTGAGATTAACTAAAGATTTGTATACTTACAATATATTAGATAATACATATCTTGAGAGAATCTAAATTATATAATAAATAGATCTATAGACAAGTTAGCTAGCTTAAGTAATCATATATAGTAGTAATATTAATTTAGAATAAGGAAAGAGTTAATGATTAGAATATTTAAATAAGTAAATTATAGGTAGATTGCAGATATAACAGTATAGTATAAAACCAACAGATAGTTAATTATTTATATAGCAAACTACTTAAATTAGATAATAACTAAAGTGATATATATAGCTTGTTGTATATTCATTATATAACTATAAAATATTAGAAGATTATTATTTCAGTAACTCTGTAATAACAAATTAATAAAATTTAATTAGCTAAAAAGGTAGTCTTAATAATAATAAAAAAAAAAATTTAAATATTATTTATTATATTAAAATTTTACAAAATATTTAATTTAAAAAAATTATATTTGTATGATACAAGAAGTTTATACTCAACAGTTATATAAAATGTTTTAATTTTTTAAATAGCTATAACTTTTTATCTAAAAAGTTTTAAAAAAATCTGACTAGTAAGGTCTAATAACTTAATATAGTAGTTAGATTGTCTAATCACTATATAATAGATCTAGAGTTCAAATTTTATTATCGATGAATTTGAATAATTTTCTAAATCTTGTAATATATTATAGTAAACTCTGTTAGTTTCTGAAATATACTTCTGTAAATTGAGTTGCACTAAATTAATCAGAACTTGAAAGTGTAATATAATATTATATAAATAAATCTTAATAGGATATATAAACAAAGAATCTGCATAGTAGAAATCCTGAGTCAATAAAGTAGTATAGCTTTCTGATAAGACTATATTAGCTAAAAGTCTGATCTGAGAAAAAAATTTAGTCTAATAAAAGTAGAAAGTTTTGAGATCTTTAAACAAAGAATAACTAGAACTAGCTTGATACTAGAAAAAAACTAGGTTAACTAACTAGTAGAAAACTATAGTAGAATCTAGAATTATATAAATATCTACAAGAATCTAAACTAGATAAATCTGTAAAATAGGTTAGGCTAGTAGCAACCTCTTAATGATTAGAAGTTAAAAGTATATATATGCAAACTAAAACTTCTATAAGAGAAATAGTTGCTGTAGCAGATCATACTTGGGTACCTAAAGGTAGCTAAGTGAGCTTAAAATAATCAAAAAGTAAATAGTTTAGTATAAATTTTGTAATAAATTATCTTGTAGCTTATAGTAGCTTATTTTTAATAAAATGACAGGTAAGATCACCTAAGAAGAAAAAAAAATTTGTAAAATAGGTATAGATCACTCTAGTAGATTTGCTTCAAGGTTAACTGGCTCTGCAATACTAGCAATATATCTAGTATAATATATCCTAAGAGGATCTAAGCTATTCTGAATAAATAGATCTATAATGAGCTAGTTGGCTTAAATAGTTAAATGTTGTAGTAATATTAGATTAGATCTGTATAAATTAATAAACAGAGTATTTAAATAGGTAACTTACTAGCATATTACAAGTATAGCAGTATAGTATAAAACTAATCAGATAATCTAATGCCTATATAGTGAACTACTTAAAATGGACAATAACTAATATTATATATGTAGCTTGTTATATACTCTTCATATAATTACAAACAGTAGGGATTATTAATATATAATTCTGTTTGCAATTCTAATAAAATTCTTTTGGCAATATAAGCTACTTTTAATAACAAAAAAAAAAAAAAGTCTAACTAGTAACTTTATAAAGCTATATTAACTATAAATATATATACTAAATATCTTTTTAAAATCTTATTATTATCCCTTAGATTATAGATCAATACAGTTAAATTTGTCTATATTTTTGTATTCATATAGGCTGATTTAAGGAATTGCTGATATCTCTTGATCTACTGATTTGTTTTGGATAATTTAACTACCAAAATGTTTATCTTAATGAAACGATTCTAACGAGTATAAAAATGTTAAAATCTAATCACAGAATCCTGAGATCATTTAAGTTTTGTGTGATTTTAATCAAAATTTTACTATGTAGACAATCAACTTAGAAATGGGTTGCTTATTTAAATTTATATAGACAACACATTTCTAAGTTGATTATCTACATAGTAAAATTTTGATTAAAATCACACAAAACTTGAATGATCTCATGATTCTGTAATTAGATTTTAATATTTTTATACTCGTTAGAATTATCTCATTAAGATGAACATTTTGGTAGTTAAATCATCTAAAATAGACCAGTAGATCAAGAGATATCAGCAATTCCTTGAATCAGCCTATATGTTATTTAGCTTTGATTTACTTTTTTAAAATGTAAAAATATAAAAAAATAATTATAGATAATAAAATTTGAAAATAAAAATTATCTTTTTGTAATATTTGTTTTTATATTATAAAAAAAAAATTTAGAATTAAAATAGCTAATTTTATAAAAAAAATTTTAGCAAAAATTTTATTAGTATTTCAAGGTAAACTTGTTTAATTTAAGTTTTAGAACTATAATTTATTAAGTAATTTGATAAAACTTTTAAAGAATTACAACTTTAATTATTATAACTTTTGTGATTTACTTATAAAAATTTAGATTTGTAATTAGAGGTTAGATCTGAGTTAGTATAAATCGAGTTATCTATGGATAAACAGATAACCTGAGTTAAGTTTTTGCAACTTAGGTGATCCAATTTATATTAAACTAATATACCTAAAGTAGAGGCCTGTATTGAGTCCTACAGCCTGACCTAGCTTAGTCTGGCCTGCAAATTTTTGCGAGCCAAGCTGAGTCTAAAACAAAATTTTATAACTACAGGCTAATGCAAGCCTAAAAATTTTTAAAAATTTATAATAAATTTTGTATATTAGGCTGAGTTAAGCTAGCCTAAAAAAAAATTTATATATATATGAGCTAGGCTAGACTAGCAAAAAAATTTTAAAACTAAGTGCAAGCTGAGCTGAGCTGACAAAAAAATTTTAAAACTAAGTGTGAGCTGAACTAGGCTACAAAAATAGATAATTTGCAAGCCTCTAACCTAAAGTAAACTAGTCAATTAGATTTCAAGATTATAAGATAAAATTAATAATAATAAAATTATCTTGTATCATATAACCTAAGCTAACTTTTAAAATAACTTGCTAAAAAATGATCAGATTAATTTTTCATAATAAGTAACTTTATTCAAAAAGATATTAATAACAAGTTTTTTTTTTTTCCTAATGACCAGACTATTTAATAACAAGGTTAATTAGTAGAGAATAATTAAAAAATTATAATCGAAATGAATAATTACTTCTGAGCAGTTTTAAGCAAACTAGTTTTATAAACAGAGTTTCTAAGCATTAAAAATAGTAATATCTCCTTTAAATCAAGCTAAATTATTGACTGCTATTAATAAAATATGTTCTTAAAAAGATTGTTAATAAGTTTAATTAGATTTATATCAAAAAGTAATTATAGCAATAGCAATAATGAGCAAATCTTATTAAGCAGTTTTTAGCATTTTAAGCAAGATAATATCCTTAGATAAAATTAGTAAATACATTAATGGTAGCATTGTATAATCATAATCATGATATCAAAAAAAAATAGATCAATTAATAGTAATCAATTTTTTTAACTTTTTTTTTTTTTCTCTTTTTCTAAAGTGATATTATATAAGACAAGTTCTTCACAAATATATGAATTTTTTAAAAATAATATTTCATATAAAATAAGTCTCACATAAAATAAATTCATCAAATAGAGGTCCATCATAAACTTTTTTTTTCTTTTTTTAAAAAAAGTTTTTTTTTTTTTTTTTTTTTTTTTTTTTTATATGTACATATTCAGTATAATGAGTAATAGTGGAGGTATAAATGATAATAAAGGTAATGGACCTTCTAAAGAAACTATATCTTAGAAAATAATTATGATAAATAGCAGGATAATTACTATTACAATGAATAGAAAGAGAATAATAATAAAGAAGAAAACTCTTCTAAAGAAAATATATTTTATTAAGAGGATAGTTATAATGAAAGTGAAGAGCTTTCTGAACAAATCTCATTTTTTAATTTGCATCAAGAAGTTAGTGATAATGTAACTATTGGTTCTGGCAGTAGGACTTCTGTAGTACTTTTAGAAGATTAACTATCTATAAAAAAAAAAAAAAACTCATTCAAAATCTAGACAATTAAAATATTTAAAGCCTAAATAAAAATATATAAAGTCTAGTTGAGTATAAAAGTACTTTAAGTTAAGCAAAGATGAGCAATATGATATGTATATGGCTAAAACATTGAATTTGAATAATAAAAAAGTTGTATATAGTCACCAATTTCTGCATAATAGTAGTACAGAAAATATAAATAACTATCTTCAAAGTAAACATAATCCATATAAAAGTCAAAATATTGTAAGTAATTTTTATTAATAAAAATAATTAGTTAATAATTACTGATTATAATAATAATATAAAAACAGGATCATACTATTCAGCAAATATTATTAGAGACTTTTGAACAAGTAAAGGTTAAGAAGCATAATAAACTATGAAATCAAGAAATTTAGCAAGCAATTGCTGAATAAATAGTTGTTGACAATCTATTATTTAATATAATCAAAAAAAAAGAATACAAAAAAATAATGAAAATTATCAATCTAGCTTTTAAACTTCCTATTGATAAAAAAATCAAAAAGGAAATCAATAACAGATATCCTAATGCAGTTGAAAACTTAAAAAA